ATGTGATCTGGTAAGTAGAATATCTAAGGAAGGTAAGCTGTTTTCATTTTGCATAATATATTGTACAAAATGAAAACACTCCTTAACAGTCGATCAGTTGAACATTGCACAAAATTGCTGAAAGAGATTAATCTAAGGTCGCTGAAAAAGCTTGATCTAAGGTTGCTGAGACAGATTGATCTAAGCTTGCTGACACTTATACAATCAGAAGAAAATTTCATTTTTATACATATATATTTATATATATTATTTATATATATTTATATGGTGGTAGCCGGGAGGGCACATTGTTATACAATTTGTATACATTTATATATATGTAGTGATGTTGAAAAAAATCGCGAGAGCTACAGATTCATCCCGACAAGCTTGTTTCGTGATTGCTCACTCTTCATAGGATTTAGTATATATAATATAAATAAGGGGATGATATATTTATATATATAATTTCAATAAGGGGAAGTTTAAAGGGATGTTAAGTCACATCTAAATTTGCATTCTCAAGTACACACGGAGCAATCGGATGTGCAAGTCTAAGTGTCTGTTAAGGTGTCTCTTAAAGTTTCATAATATATTATACAAAATGAAACATTCCTTAACAATCAAGTCAGTTGAACATTGGACAAGATTGCGGAAAGATCTTGAACTAAGGTTGCTGTAAGAGCTTGATCTAAGCTTGCTGACACTTATACAATCCGGAAAAATTTTCATTTTTATGTATATATATTCATATATGTGTAGTGATGTTGAAAAAAATCACGAAAACTACAGATTCATCCCGACAAGCTTGTTTCGTGATTTTTCACTCTTTAGGGGATTTAATGTATATAATTTCAATAAGGGTGTGTAAAGGAATGTTAAGTCACATCTAAATTTGTATTCTCGAGTACATTCGGAGCAATCGGATGTTCAAGTCTAAGTGTCTCTTAAGGTGTTGTGATTACGCTTAAAAGTTCCATAATATATTATACAAAATGAAAACACTTCTTAACAATCGATCAGTTCGGACATTGGCAAGATTGCTGAAAGGGCTTGATCTAAAGTTGCTGAAAGAGCTTGATCTAAGCTTGCTGAGACAGCTTGATCTAAGCTTGCTGACACTTATACAATCCGGAGAAACTTTCATTTTTATACATATATATTTATATATATGTAGTGATGTTGAAAAAAATCACGAAAACTACAGATTCATCCCGACAAGCTTGTTTCGTGATTGCTCACTCTTCATAGGATTTAATTAATATAGTATCAATAAGGGGATTATATATTTATATATATAATTTCAATAAGGGGATGTTTAAAGGGATGTTAAGTAATATCAAAATTTGTATTCTCGAGTACACTCGGATCAATCGGATGTGCAAGTCTAAGTGTCTCTTAAGGTGTCTCTTAAAGTTCCATAATGTATTATACAAAGTGAAACACTCCCTAACAATCGAGTCAGTTGAACATTGCACAAGATTGCTGAAAGAGCTTAATCTAAAGTTGCTGATAGAGCTTGATCTAAGCTTGCTGACACTTATACAATCAGGAGAAACTTTCATTTTTATACATATATAATTATATATAAGTAGTGATGTTGGAAAATTTCACGAAAACTACAGAATTATCCCGACAAGCCTGTTTCGTGATTGCTCACTCTTCAGGGAATTTAATGTATATAATTTCAATAAGGGGATGATATATTTATATATATAATTTCAATAAGGGGATGTTGAAAGGGATGTTAAGTCACATCTAAATCTGCATTCTCGAGTACACTCGGATCAATCGGATGTGCAAGTCTATGTGTCTTTTAAGGTGTCTCTTAAAGTTTCATAATATATTATACAAAATGAAACACTCCTTAACAATATCAAAATACCCAACATATACTCTCAACTAAAGAAAAAGGACAAAAAAACTGCAAAGTACAAACAACACCAAAAAAATAACAAACACTATAATAATATTAACACCGATCATATTCACAATACACCAATACCCATGGCAACGCATTTCACCGCATCCAATCACATTAACCCACCCGCTAATACAATTAGATGTCCTAAGCGTCTACAAATGAAAAACAACTGTATATAATTACTTATATCTTTCTGATGAAGGCTCAAAGAACCGAGTTGAAAGCTCAATAAAATCATTATATACAATCCGGAGAAACTTTCGTTTTTATACATATATATTCATATATATATAGTGATTTTGGAAAAAATCACGAAAACTACAGATTTATCCCGACTAGCCTATTTCCTGATTGCTCACTCTTCAGGGGATTTAATGTATATATAATTTCAATAAGTTGATGATATATTTATATATATAATTTCAATAAGGGAATGTTTAAAGGGATGTTAAGTCACATCTAAATTTGCATTCTCGAGTACACTCGGATCAATCGGATGTGCAAGTCTAGGTGTCTCTTAAGGTGTTGTGATTACAATTACGAATTACGAATTTTAGCCCCCCTTTTTTATGAGCTTAATTGAAAATTTGGGTTATTTGAAGAACTATGACATGTCGCTGGACTTAAACAGATAAATAAGTTGCTTAATTTTGTCTCCAAAGTCGGGTACTATTTGCGAATTTTTTACGACGCCATATTGATACTTGTGACGTAGATAGTTGAACACGTCTGTTTCCGTCAATATAATATTATATTATAGAAGGTGATTTTGTTGTCGTTTTTCTTGTCTTAAAAACAAATAATGACAGTATTTTCAATAAAATATTAAAAAACAAGTTGTCTGGAAAGTATGGCCTCAAATCAGTGCTCAGATAATTCGAATTCGATGTCTGAATGCGTATCTGATTCGAGCTCGGAATCCGTTGGTTATGTCGAGCATTTAAACGACTTAGCATATGACGACGAACCGCTCGCAGGAGATGATTATGAAGTGCATACTCCAGATGATCCCGATGGAATTCTCCCTGCGATCTTAGAACAACGAAGTGATGGCGTAATTCCACTCGGTGAATGGTAAGTTGTTGTTTTCTCCTGTTTGTAATATACATAAAGTTACTTTATAAACCACAATGCTCCCACGTTTCAGGTGTAATTGTCAATGCTGTCATACCGATTTGTTAGAAGGCGCATTAGAGTACAGATGCTGTAAGGAAATTGGACCAGCTTTGCAGAAAATGACATTCGATGGCAGCATTGAGAAAATATCATGCATAACACAGCATGCCAAATTTGGGCCTTTAGTTCATGAGGCTGTCTTTGAAAACGTCGGGCCACTATTGAGAGATAGGAATGGACGTGCTTATCGCCGCCAAGCATCACAATCATTAAATATGTAAGATTGTGAATTGTATGAGAAACAATGTTATAATCAACATTGTTTCATCAACAATAATTAGTCCAACCTTTTTATTTACTTCAGGTACTTGAGAGCTGTGGCATACAGACGGTTGATGCGATAGTTTTGTGGGTCTATGGGATGGGAGAATACTCGGCCTTTACCTTCTTGTGTTTACCACTTTATTCGGAAAGCATATCCAAGTGGTAACACAACAGGTTACATACCATCAGAGGGGCGATGATAGAATAGTCTTTTAACTTGTGCACTGTAGACTGTTGACCTTCTTTGCTGAGTTTGGAATGGGCAGGAAATATGCCTAGATGAAAACCAAATAGGAGATACATGGATGCACTATATAATTTGACATGCAGTTTAATGGTTTGAAACAAGAGTAAACAATAAAAACAAATTGGTGCAGCTACTGAGAGGTTAAGCTGAAAGAATTAAATGAAAGAATATCTTTTCTTCAATGTCAGTCTGGGAAAAAAGACAAAAGAAAAAATATATGGAATTAAATCATAGCATAAATGTAAAAATGGAAAATAGCAAGCCGTTCAAATGGTGAATCGTTTGCTTCCCCAGTGCATACTTAAACATGCTCAGCTTCATCACTAGTAGATGGTACTTCCTCATTGAGAGAACATGTTTCCTTCAGCGATGGCTTATGGAGAGTATGTCGAATAATCTACAAAACTTATATCGAATTTAAATATGACAAAAGAAAAATTAACATAAACAAGCGTTAACTTACTTGTCTTTGCTTTCGATCGGTTATTTCGTCCTGTAATGGTTCAGGAATCCCTGCCACGTCAATGGTTGGGATAGCATCTTTCTTCAACCTTCTTTTGAGCTTGACTGACACGCTCAAATTAAGGTCAAAACAAGAATCTTCAAAATGTGCAGAACACAGACACGAGGTAGAGGAAGCCTCAAAACCCGGTCTATGTTTACGCACAAAATTTACCCATTTTCTATGTCTTTGCGGCTCTGTTTCTTTTTTAGGAAACAGATGCATCGACATTCCTTCGGTTTTTGAATCATTGGCGCAACTAATTTGATTAGAGTAAATGGCTTGAACCCGGGAGTATCGTTATATGTTTGTAAATGATGATCGAATGATTTTTTTTTTTTTTTTTTTTTTTGACTCTGAAGATGACTACCGCTAAGGTTGTCGAAACGTCAGTCAACAACATCAAAAACAGTCCTTCTCAGGACTTTATTAACCTGGACGATCATCATTTACAAACATATAATTTGATTAGGTCTGCCAGCAACACAGCGTTTTCCTCCGCGTTTCTTATTAGGATTACTAGCAGAATACGCCATGTTGATATATGTGTTAAACTTTCTACGTCACAAGTCATTAGCATACCGATCAAAAAGTTCGCAAAAAAAATGCTGAAAATCGTGACTTTGAACGTCCGTAAACTCACTTTCACCAATCCAATTTCAATTATAATTGCAGATTTAAAATCACTGAAACAAGGTCTTTCAATTTAGCTAATAAAAAAGGGGGGCTAAAATTCGTGATATAACCACTTTAAAGGTACCATATTATATTATAGAAAATGAAAACACTCCTTAACTCCTGAACATTGCACAAAATTGCTGAAAGAGCTTGATCTAAGCTTTCTGAAAGAGCATAATCTAAGGTTGCTGACACTTTGCATACTGCTTAAAAAGTAAAGATTACACTGGCAGGACAAAAAGAATTTATCCTCCTTTTTATAAATGATGAAGTCTATACCGATAGCATTATGTTGAGTTTTTGCTTTGAGTATGCAGCTGGTTGAATCTAACGACAAAGTTGATGATATCATGGTATGTATCAATAGGTTCAGCTGCATTTTTCAATTTATCACAGGGTACATCAAAATAATTCAATATAATTCCCATGAGTTAAGAATAACCTGTTTAAAAAGTAAGCACCACCACAAAAATTACCGGTTTGTGCATGTTGTTGCTATTTGTTGCCTCCAATTTTATAAGAGCTCTCTTTTATAAATCCAAATAGAAATACTCTCAGTATGTATACAGGCGTTTCGTACGCACATATAGGTCATCTCAAGATCCCCCCCTCTCCTCTGATGCCCTAAACCCACCACCTCTTCTTATGCCCTAAAACTGACTTTTAATTCGAAGAGAATGCAAGGGAATTGCATATACAATTTTAAGTTTCATTTTTTCAAAAATATGTCTTTTCCATCGGAAGATTCATTTCTAAGTTTTATTTATTCATCGAATGGAAAGTAAACTGCTGCATAAACTGTTATTGTCATGCACATTTATTATTTACCGAGCTTCAGATTAAAATATATAAATCATGGCCATTTATTTTTGTAAAATAGAAGCGTAATGCTTCTTAGTAGCCAATTTTGTTGGCGCTAAGCTCTCAAATGCACACAGAGTTTTCTGTTTTCCTTCAAAAATTATAAAATTAAACGAGACTTGCCTGAAGTCGAAATTTGATTGAAATTCTATGACTTACTGTTCAGGAACTAGGAAGTCACGTGAGATAGATCGCGCAATATCAAGATCAGTTTTTCAAAAATTTGCAAACGTCCACATACTTATTGCAAGGCAAGTAGTATTTAACATCATTTGAAAAGAAGTATGTTCGTAGTTATGGGTGACTTCCTAGTTCCTGAACAGTCACTCATAGAATTTCAATCAAATTTCGACTTCAGGTAAGTCTCGTTTAATTTTCTAATTCTATTTCGTCACTGTTCTACGTCACTAGGAAGTCATGTGAGATTTTAAAGCAATGTGGATATAAGCAATAACTAATAACAAAATAATATAATTGAAATTTCACATTTCATGTCTCACAAATGTCAGAAATTAGATCATTGCCAAAGTTCTTCGTCTCAATTGGTTTATTATAAAATGTTTGAAAAGTTTGTTCATTACTCCATGTAGCTGCATTCATAATAGTGTCCATAGAAATATTCAATGCGTTTGCTGCAGAAGTTGATGCAGTCCTAGTACTGTGTGCACTGTAAACCTCATTATTTATACCAGCATCCTTTAACACGTATTTTAAACATCGGGAAATGGTCGCTGAAGTGACCGAATGATAAGGTTTTTGATAGCTCAATAGGAGTTGTCTTGCACCATTTCGTATGGGTGCAGTGGCATTTAGATAATGGGACAAGTAATTGAATACACATAACCCAGGCTCTGGTGAATAAGCCCGAAATTCTAATGGAGCAGCATGCTTAACAGGTTTAGATGTTTTGAGCAGTCGGTGCACATGAAAAACTATTCGATCTTCTTTCTTCTCCATATGAGAAATATCCAATACATGAAGAAGTGTTTGGCATCGCTGACCAGATAACAAAGCTAAGAGCATTACTGTTTTTAGTGTTAATGATTAAGACAAGATCAAATTAAGATTTTTCGAAGGGTGGAGATTTCGAAGATGTTTGAATACCACTGAAACGTCCCAGGCCATGGCATATCTAGGAATAGCTGGTCTTGCAACAAATACACCTTTAACAAATCTAGCAACAAGTGGATGTGTACCAAATGAGATGCCACTTGGTAGCATAAGGATAGCAGATAAGACGCTCCTTGCACCGTTAATACCGCTGTAAAAGAAACCTTCCTGGTATAATTTTGTAAGAAAAGTAATGCCCTTTTCTAGAGAGGACGTGATAGGATCGATATTGTTTGCGTTGCAATATTGTCACCAACGGTTAAGGCATGTAGAATATTGCTTCTTGGTACCGGTCCGCCAAGACTGCTGGATTACTTGAGAAGCCTCTTGTGAAATGCCTTTATCAGAGAGGAGTTCCCCGATAAATGGCAAAGTAAAGCTCCAGTTTTGTATTGAGAAGGTGGATTTGATCCAGATGAGCTGGAAGAGTTAAGGTCGTTCCTACTCTAGGTTAAACAGCTGGCCACCAACTTTGTGTTGTCCAGTTAGGGACTAAGACTAGTCCTGTGCTTTTATCTTGTACTATTTTTGTAGTACTTGCGAAATTATGCTGAAAGGCGGGAACGCATAAAAGGTATAATTATCCCACAATATCATAAAGGCGTTGACAACTATAGCATACGGGTCAAGTTGGTATGAAACATAGGGTTTCACTTAATTATTCAACCTTGATGCAAACAAATCAATGTTTGGAGTTACGTCTAGTTTTTGAATGGCACACGTAAACAGAGTCTTGTTCAACTGCCATTCTGTCTCTCTGCGTGATATTTGAGATTCTCAATCCGCAGTGACATTTTGTAATCCTGAAATGTGCGTTGCTGTCAACCAAATATCATACGAAATGCAGCAGGTCCAGACATTGAATGTCAACATGTGAATAGAATTTGAGTGGCATGTTCCCATTTGATAAATGCAAGCTACAGCAGTAGTATTACCAATCAATACCTTAACTTGCTTACCTTTTAGTTCTGAAGAAAACGACTCAAGGGCAAACAATACCGCAAGAATTTCCAAATAATTTATATGATTGGAAGCCTCCAAGGGCGTCTAGTTACCCCCATCACATACACCATTTAGGTAGCAGCCACACCCTGTCAACGACGCATCTGTTGTTAGGCATATTCTAGGTTCATTGTGAATAATTTGCCTGTATGTCGTGCATATTGATGACTGTCACCATCGTAAATCATGTATGGCCCCTGAAGACAGTGTCATTGTCTTGTCAAATTTACCCCGATTTGACTTAAGGGCATCGCTTTTATCCATTTCCAGCGAGCGATAATGTAACTGTCCGAGGATTACGCCCGGGAGACTCGAAGTTAGAGTGCCCAAAATCCGAGAAACATTCCTTATTTTTTGGTGAGAAGCTTGTAGCAGCTCATGACACATGTGTCTTATCTTCTCAGCTCGTTCTGTCGTCACAGATATTCGCATAAGAACTGAGTTGAGTCCGAAACCCAAGAAAGTAATTACTTTTGGGGAGCTAAAACTGACTTATCCAGTTTTACAGATAAGCCCCACTTCACTAAATAAGCAGAGGGTATCTCAAATATTCCGAACACATAAAACATATGTGTCGGATGTCAGCCAACTATCATCAATAGATGGCTAGGCCTTTAGGAAAACAGACAAATTTATATAGTTGCCCTCTCCAGCAAAATATGAGGAATTTTTGATATGCTGGGTGAATACGTACGGAATAGTAAGCATCTTTGAGATCGATGGATGCCATGAAACAATTTGCTTTCATAAGCCAAATAGCTGACCAAACACACTCCATTTTAAAACGGTGATATCTGACATGCCTGTTTAAGGATTTCAGATTAAGAATCATGCGATAAGAACCGTCTATTTGGGGCAAGTAAAATTGAGATGCAAATTCCCTGATTCAGGGTGAGAAATCTGCAAAACGCCTTTTGTGTAATTTGTTAATTTCTAATTCAATATTGTTCATTTCAACCTCGGTAGCTCTATTTGCTTGGGTAAAGCTCTTTGTATCGGAATTGTGTCAAATTCAATTTTTTGTCCTGACACTGTCTGTAAGATTTCCTTATCAGAAGTATGTGTTTCCCATGCACTTAAAAAATTTGATATGCTGCCAGCCTGAAGGTCCCCATGCTTTTATTCAAATACGCTATTAGCGTAGGTACAAAACAAGAATACTGATTTACCTGTAAAGTCTTAAAATTTCTTCAAAATTCAGTGTTTTCTACTTGCGACCATTCATTGTGTCCGATCGTCTCTTCCCGAATTGGTTCCTCTTCGACCGATAGGGTGTTGCCCTGATGACGAGATGAAAAAGGGCACCATTGTCGTTTCCCTTGTTTGTAATGTTGCCGCCAAGTGGTATTAGAAGAGCTTCTTGTCGCGTTGCCAATCTTGTTGGATGTACGAATATGATTAATTTGGGTTTGCAATTCATATCCAAACAAATATTTCGTAATGGGAACGTGCGATGCGCATAAAGTACTAAATTCTCGATGGAGAAGTATAGCGTTACGTCGTCGTTGAGACAATTCAAAACTTACATGTCCCAGGATCGCTATGATTTCAGCGTTCATACGAACAAAATTATCAATATTCAGTTGGCTGCTGTTATTGCAGGCAACCAACAGTTCATTGGTGGTTTGTGCTGTTATATGACCGACATTCGTCAGAGCTGATGGAATGGCAATCAATTGTAAATCACGCCCTCTAGCTGTACGGTCTAATTTCCCCCAAATTTCGGGGTTTACCTTAGGTACAATAAGGCGATCGCAGTTCTTAGGCCTAAAATATTTAGCCTGTTTTTCCTTCAATTGCTCGTCGCTCAGCTTATTCAGCCAACACTGGTTGATAATTGAGGCGAGCTTCTCGTTGACAACTGGTGAAGTTTTCTCAGTTTCTTCTAGAGTCTGCAAAATCTCTTCCAGCAATGGGTCCACTTTTAGTCGTTCTGCTTCAGAATTGCGCTTGGTCGAAAGTTCTTCGTTTTGTGCCAACAAGACTTCACAATCTGCGCCATGCACTGATTCAGGGATTAAAGCACTTGCTTTTCTCTTACGAGTAGATTCTACTGTAGAGGATACTGACATTTGCTGCATTGACCTGAGTGCTTCAGTCATTGCAGTCCTTTCTTCACTGATCCTAGAAATGGCAGTTACAACATTCAAATTCTTTGATATTACTTGCACTTATTCGCTTTCTTCCATCATGTCATCTTGTTCATCGTGTTCAGCAAAACCCAGGAGTGCTGCTTCATCTCCGACATCATCTCTTGTGGTATACTCTTCATTTGTAGAAGCCATAATTCAAAAAATTGTAATATAGTGTGGAAAGGAACTTTTTGTAACTGATCGCTGTGAAATCTACGCTCGAACTGATCTTGATATCGCGCGCTCTATCTGACAGGACTTCCTAGTGACGTAGAACAGTGACGAAGTAGAATTCGTATCACATTGACACGATTTTTTTAAATATAGTACAGCTTACGACACGCTAAGCACACTCATAGATGACAGAGTTAAATGTTGTAAGTTACTAAATACAGTATGCTTAGAGCTTTGAAAAATATGTTCTATTTGAAAATGAAAAATAACTGACAATCATAAAAATATGCAGTTCGTAATTCTGTGATTTAAGACATACTGACATTCTTTTGAGCGTAGCAATAAAATTGTCGTAGCTACGTCAGTTTCCCTTTAACACTTTTTTGTTTTAAGTAAGTTTTGTAAGTTCTTTGTTTGTTTAGTTAGTTCTTTTTGTTGTAACGTCGTGAGAACTTGAAACGCAACGAAAGAGTGAGTACTGCTAATGACGAAAAAGGAAAACACGACTTATGTTTTGTTGTAATTACCGTTAGTATAAATACATGTAAGTAATTAAATGTAATAGATAGCGTAAAAATACTCCAGTGATGTACTTGTAGTTTGTTTAGCTTGTAAAATAAAAGGTTCAAAACGAAGAGTGTTAGCGAACCAGCTGAGGAACGGATTCCTTGACACATAAAGATTATCTCTCGATTTTCAAAAAACGTTTTTAAGTTTTCCTTCATTTCTTATGTAAACAGCGTCCTTTGCAATAATAAATGTTACTGAAGGTACTTATTTCAACTTTTGGACTATTCTAAACTCTCACTCAAATTTGACCTAACCTTAGTCATAACCATGAACGGTAATCAACGGACGTGGAGCAATTTCCATGAGAAGGTCAAAATCAAATTCATTTAAATCTAAAAACATCAACTGTCTAAAATTGACAACGAGTAATAATTAAGTACCATTCAAATTTAACTGTACATCTTTAACAACATTTAAGAGACTTAATCAGGTTCATTCATTAATTATTGTCAGAAAACACGATTACCTAGAGGTCCTCCCAAGAAACCAAATGTTTGCAAAACCAGTTGTCATGCGCCTGGTGTACCTGGATTTCCAGGTCATAATGGGGTGCCAGGAGCCAAAGGAGCCAGTGGAAGTGATGGAAAGCCGGGAAAGATAGGTCCATCAGGGCTAAAAGGGGACAAAGGAATCCAAGGTGTGTGGGAAGGACTGGTGTTAAGGGTGAAAAGGGGGAAGCTGGTGAACAAGGCTCTGTGGGAGCTAATGAATCCAACTGGAAGCATTGCTCTTGGAATAAGGAGGTTGTACAAGTTAGTGGACTTATAAGGGTAAATAATCACTACAAATTTTGTTGAAATAATTAGTTAATGATCAAAGATATTCTTGATTTTACAGGTATCATTATACATAATTAATTATTAGTAATAATTTAGGCAGTGACAGTTCAATTTTATATTGTGCTATAATGCTGACATGTTTCGTTGTGTTTAAGAAGGAAAAAAGGAAAAAAATATGTCTTCATACATAAAAGATAAGGCTTTGCATTTTTATTTAAAATTTTTTTATATGTATGCGAAAATCATTTCAAAAATCGTTGCTGATTGTAATGTCGTATTTCATTCAACTTAGTTCTGTTATTTCTTTTTGTTTGAACACCCATTAATCAAAAATCAACAACATGTAAAAGCTCACAAAGTTTGAAATCTTTTCATTAAATATTGAAATTTGTGAGCATAACTCCTACTCCGCTCTGGTAGAAAACTTTATTCCAGATTAACAATCTCTAAATTTCGAATTTTTTAAGTGAAAGACAAAAACCTTAAAATATTTTGGGAACTCTCTTATAGGCACTTTATTAAAACTGGCATGGCAAAACTGAAAGTAAATGGACATGATCTACAGAGATAACGAAACATGTTACACTTTAAAAGTCAATTTTCTGTTATAAGATAATATGTTTTGTGTTTTTCTTGTACGCAGTGGTTTAAGCAAAAATCATTAAAGTTCTCTCTGTAAAACACAATTCGATTACTTTTTTGATTGATTTTTGTCTTAATCAAACCAGAACCAATCTAGAGTAGCCACGTGAGTGTGCAACATTTTAGAGCACAAATTTAACGAGTATGAAGGCTTTTCATTTTTCTTGACATTCAACATAATTTCTGCAATGTAATCTGACGTACCCTAGCTGCATTTGGAATGCGTCATTTTGTCACTAAATCTCTTTTGATGTTCGTCCAGTTTTAGGCAAAATAGAAACAAAGATAAATTATATCCCTGTCCCTTTGTGCATGGCATTTAAAAACACCATTCATAATATGGCTTAATTAAGTTATGTGTTCTGACCAGAGATATACCAGGCGGGAAGCGAATTCTTCTTATAAATATTAAAGCCCAGCAAAGTGCTTTCAAAAAAGCCATTCAATTGAAAAATGACGTATAAAAAGAAATATTTATTTAGTAGCGTAACGTTTCGTCTTGACTTTCTGTCTTGAGAATATTTATAACAAGAATAAGTTTTGTGGTAGTGAATTGTGATTTTTATTAATCATTTCAAATTTCTAAGTTATGTTATATTAGACATATTTCTTTTTTAAAGTAAATACCTTTCCTTTTTAAAATAACCAATTTGTATTATAAAGTTGAAGCATTATGTTGTCAGTCATACCTGATGTATATTACTTTGTTATTTTGCTTTTCTAGGTATGCAGTTTTAAGAAAAAACGTGACAATACTTATCTTCGCGTGTTTTACTCTGGCAACCTCGGTATTCAAAACTGCAACTGGTGTTGCAAGCGTTGGTATTTCAAATTAAATGGAAAAGAATGTAATCCTACAATTGAAGGTGTTTATTTCATATAACAACGTGAAGGAACACCTGAAATCAAGCGTCATCGTCATATCGAGGGATATTGTGGTAACATCGATAAGGGTACTGTCAATGTTGGTTTCTATGTCGGTAATTATCAGGGATCTTTCAATGGAGATGCACAACCCTACAGTGGATGGAATTCAGTCTCTCGAATTGTGATCCAAGAAGTTCCAGCACCACAGGCTTAATTCAAACCAGGCTGAATCTGAATTGTTGTTGAATATGCTATACTTATCATAATTGTTGCTATGATTTTTATAAACATAAAGCTCTTTTCAATGTCGTCTTTTTGTTGTCTATGTCACTGATTCGTTCAAAACTTTTGATGTTTTATTAAAGTGCACATACAACTATTTTTAGTCTTTTATTCTTAAATAGATTTTGAATAAATAATACAAATACAGAATTTGTATAACTTTTTTCGTTTTTTAGTTATCTTTCGGCAAAGACGCGAATAAAACCTGAATTTCAACGTTTTGTAAAAAATGTCGAGAGCTCTAATCCGTGGCATGGGACTTACTTGTGACGTTATTTAAGGAACACAGACTAAACACCCCCTAAGACCCTGACCACACGTATTTGGAGTTTTTTAAAAACGAAGGCTTTTTTTCTGTTTTTGAAAAGATTTGCGTCCACACGTAGCGTATTTGAATCGTTTTTGCCTGTCCACACGTATACGCAAATATGATCGCAATACGAAAAAACGATATAAAAGAGCATGCGTAGAGGTGTCGAGTATTAGCAAATGCACTAGCTTGAAACTGAATAAAATAGCTATGCAATTCTGCATCGCCATGTTGAACAAATGCTTTAAACTTTGAACCTTCCAACCATGCTTTGAAATGACGTTTTGAATTCGGCGCAAAACCGCATGCTCCATCCGGACTCGATATTAGACAGCTTTAACAAGAGTACGACTACGACAACGAGTACGAAGTTTGACTGTTTAAGAGAGTGGCACGAGGACGTTTGTTGTCTCTGTCGCTTCATGAAAATTTTGTTTTAGCTGTAGAAACAGAACGAGCCTTTTTATTGTGTAAAACATAGATGTTTGCGAAGCATCTACGGCTCTATTTGTCAATAATGATATCAACTAATCGGTAATACTGATTTTGCAAGAACATAGGACTCTTTAGAGTGAAAAATCTTCACTATTTTAAATTTTATGTACGATATATTTGTACTATTTTATTGTTTTTTTACCGTTCACTTTGTGTACGAAATACATGAAAGTTTCGCAGGTTGTATTTTCGTTTTAAATGTACATATGCGCTCAAAAAAGGTTCTAAATTAAAGCCTGGATGCTCAAAAATAGTACTGTAAACTAATTTTTTACACAATGAAAAAATATACCTACTTTCTTTGCCTAAAAAGACTACGAATGTAGTCGCGACTACGAATTTTTTACAAAACATCGTACTCAAATTGATAACGGCTACGTGTTGTTGTTGTCGCAACAATTTTTTCACGCCAAAATGACGTAATTCGTACTCGTAGTCGTACCATTGAGCTCTATAATAACTGGAGCGGCTAACTTTACTCGGGCGAGGTCAGGGGCGGATCTAGAGTATGTCAAATCCGTCGCGCGACTGATGTTTGAAATTCAAAAATTACCTATTCATATTAATTAAAAATTCATTAATTATTCTTATTTTCTTATCGCATTTACTTCGTTATAAAAATCCCGCATTATTTATTATTGAAAACTAATGACTAATCCAACGAATATCTCGTTGGTAACCAGGGGCCGGTTGTATAAAGCTCTTAACTAATTTTTAACTACACTTTTTGCAGTTAAAAAGTAGTTAAATTTAACCACGCGGTTAAGTCGGTTGTATAAAAAAGTAGTTAGCGCTAAATGCAGTTAAAAGGTAGTTAAAGTTAACTATGCTATGGAGCATAGTTAACTTTTCAAAACACAGTTAAACATGGCGGCTTGCCTTCTCAAAGATAATTACGGGCGAGGTGTTGTTGATCAACAAGGTTTTCCCTTGAGTTTTTAATCACATATGTATCTTCCATGGAAAAGGCTTTTAGAATAAGAGCTTTATGGACAATGTACTACATTCGTCAGTGCTGTAAAACATCCCAAGTTTTGCTGACCAAAAACAGCCAACAATTTATCCACGCAACAAATCCTTTTTTACACAAGAGCAATTACATTTTGTATTATCTTTCTTGCGTCCGGTAGCTCTTTGCAACTCATAGCGAGACTCTCAATTGAGATAGAGTCACTTCTTTCAGTTTAGTGCACATAACTCGCCGACATTGTCTTAAAAATACGTACAATTCGTTCAATGACAGAAAAAAGAAAGAATGTTATTCGAGCAATGAATCCTATAGCCTTGGATTAATCAAATATTCAAATTGCGGGTTTTTCCCTAGGCATTTTGCTGGATTGAATATCATATGCATCATATAAACTCTTTGCTCTATGGAAAATAAGCTAGATTATGTTAAAACAAATAGGTACTACAGTATAAATGTTGTTCAAAGTATACCAATGATAATACATATAGATACATGACCTTTACAACAGTTTTTATTCATGACTACTCTTGTGTATCAGCTGCATGAGATACAATGATTTTAGTTTCTTAAATACACAAACATTTCATCAGCATGCATGGTGAAGGTCTATATTGCTTGATATATATACACTATCCATTGCAAAAGGTTTATTACACAAGAAGAAAATATACATGACAGTCAGTTAGGGGGTTTTATTGATATTTCATCAAGTATTTTCTATGTAAAAATGTTTATTTTCAATGTACATACAATCTTGCCTGCCAATAAAAATCTAGCTACTGTTTGATGATTTAAAAAGTAGAAAAAGAAATAAAACTCCCAAGCTTTAGACAAAGATAGTCTAATAAATCACAAAGGCATAAATAAAAGTTTCATAGCTAAGGCTCATTAACAAATATACCCAATAGTTTTTATAACTCAGTTTTTTGGAAGGCAGAATTAAAAACAAAAAAGGGTTTTGTGTATAGCTGTGAATATAAAATGTCACAAGCAGAGAAAAGACAGTTTCTGGATTACATGGCTACTAACTATGATGACTCAAAGAAATGTTTTCTAATAACAAAATTATCCATCACTGTCACCTTTTACAAATATGTGTGACTTATGTCTTTATGAACACACTTCTTTAAAGCATTTTACTCAGCTGTTATAAAGATAAACGTAACGACCTTTTCCTTTGTTACCCTTAATCTTTCAGTTATAAATTCTGTAGAAACAAGGCCATTCAATTATTTAAATCCTTGCACATAGAACACAATCTGAATCA